AAATGCAACTTACCTTTAGAAAATTCTGTTATTCCGAATAGAAAAAACTATACGCATATAAACGCACTACACCTTTTACACAAATGAGCAATGGACTACTGAAATAATGAAAAACTTTTTCTATCATATCACCGTGTCTGTACTCGGTAGACAAGAATTTGCAGGATTTTTCCTGTAAAAACGAAACGTGTCACTGTCTTGAGCTTTCGATATTGAATTTCGCCAGCGTCGAATCAGCTGAGTTTTTAACTTTTAAACTTTAGGGGAAATAGGGACACACTAAACCAAAATTATAAATATTAATAATGACTTTATTCTAATCCGAAAAAATACTTTATTCTAATTATACAGGGTTCTTCAAATTCTTCTAATTATACAGGGCTCTTGAAGATTTTTAACTGATTAGGTAAAAACAAAGCTCTATTGGCTATAATAATATATTATAACGATCACGATCACGAGTATGGAAAATGGGATTTATCATACTTCTCACTCAACGATCATACTATGTACACCTGGATTGAAGATAGGGCAGTGTGGTGCGTAAAGTAGTTCCATTATCGTCGAACATTAAAAATTTAAAAGCATCCGGACATCAAAAAAAGTATCCGGATACCGGATACTTTCAAATTTGGTCACGGATACGGATACCGGATACAAAATTTAAAAATTATCCGGATACAGCCTTCGGATACACAAAAAGTATCCGGATACTGTATCCGGATACAGAAGTATCCGGATACTACCCAGCTCTGACGGAGAAGAACGGTTAGGTTCCTCACGCTGACAGCTAATAACGATCAGATTCCGACGACCTTTTAAGGAGTCAGGCATCAGTTCTATTATGTAATCACTAAGCGAGCTGCTGCTATTTTGCAGTTCTCATTAGTTTGTTTTTGAGAAAATCCATAATGTCAAGTGATCTTAGTGATAGTGATATATCTAATGGAAATAATCAGCCAGGAAATGTCAAAAAGCGTAGAAAAACCGGCAAAATGAGTGATGTAATGAAAAAATTACGCATCAACACTCACAAGGTCGGAGAAGACTGTAAGTGAATTCGTTACAACTGTTTTCAAGTCATCCCTTTGAATAAAAGACAACGATTAGTTTCTTATTTTAATGAGTTAGGGGACTACAATGTTCATAACAAATATTTAACAGGTCTTGTTACGGTTATATCTGTTGGAAGACGAAGAAGCCAAAACCCTGAAGTAAGTTTTAATCAATATTCTTATAGCTATAGAGTTCGGGTAAATGTGATTGGCTCGTTACATGATACTGTTGTTTGCATTTTTGTCTTTACACATTTGTCCCATCTTTATGTGCCAAAATATCTTACGGCGACTAGGCCTATCAGAATTTTAAAAATAGAAAAAAAACACCCACGGTTGTTTGTTACACAAAGACCATTATTTTGGCCTATATCTTACAGCCGTGTTAGTTCTCTCAAAAAATCAGGCACGTAAGAGAAAATTGAAACCTGTTCCACTAAAGAAGCTATATAATGAACTTCTGCCGATTAAGACTGCTAAGTTGTATGATTTATTGCACCTAACCCAATTCCTGACAAACTCTGAAGAGCATTTTTTACCAAGGACTAGTTTCCGATAGCGGTACGAATGAAGATAGTGATGTAGAATTTGCCGAAGATCCACCAATCGACATTTAACGCGCAAAATAGATCAGAGTCCAGCTCCTTAATTAAAAATTTGAAGATTTCAAGTACATACACTTCATCTAATTTATATAACGATGCACGTCATCGGCGTCATAGCCTGTGACGTCACCTGATACCAACACGAAATATTTATGCGGTAGGTGTGTTCTTTTTTAGAATCACTGTACCGAGTACACTGGCATTACAGCCACTAGACATATTTTATTATATACGCGTAGAAATAATATTTAAAAATTTCTATTAATGTTAACTTAAAGAAATACGCAATAATATGTTTCATTTAATTTGTATATATGCATTATAAAGCGTTTTTATCAAGAACATTTATTCGGAACACACTGTAACTGTAATCGAACAAAGCTAAAATTTTGGCATAAATTGGTAACACTTACTTGACAGTTGCGGTGTTGACACTTTTTGTACTTTATTATTTTGAATTTTTAAGTGAATATCTCTTGTTTTATATTTTTAACTATTTAATAAAACCTGTGCTTTCTAGAACAAAATTAGTGTGTTTTATTTTAAAAATGTCACGTAAGAATTTAAATAGTCATTGTAAAGAGATGGTAATATTTTTGCAATAATTATGTGATCTATTTGATTTAAAACGGAGTCAAGATTTTTTTATACTTTGGCAACTATGTCAACTTCGATCTCTGACGTAGATCATGACGTAAGTCGTTATCTAAATTAGATGAAGTATATATAATTAGCAAACTATTTTTTTTATTTTTGTATTGAAAAGTCTTATAGTAATAAACTGATAACTAAATTTTTTATATTTAATTTTCCTGAACCAAAATAAACGACTTAAAACTTTAAAATTCGATTTTTACAAAATGAACAAAATGTGAGTCTGATCATTCTTTCCCGTGGGCCTTCATATTGTTGACTTTTCTGGTCTAAAACCAGAAAACAGCAAAGGATACAAATGCAGCGAAAGGTATATGAGCATGTTTTATAAGTTGCATTTAGTAATTTCTCTTCGTAGTTTGGGCATTCAAGCAAATCGCCTTTTTTGTGGGTGGGGTATATTATTCCAATTTTCCGCTCCTCTGGCAACTTACATTGTTTCGATATTTTCACTATAAATTTGTATAAATTTAATACAGTTACAGTACAGTACTGATTTTAACAGTTCGGCTGGTAACTTGACTATTCCTGGAGATTTATGATAGCCAGCTTTTGTTGCCTGTCGAACTTCATCAAAGCTTGGTAGATTAACTTGTTCTTCTTCAAATTATTTTATCTATGATTGCTGCTTATTGTTGTATTTATATTGTCGAGTTTGACAAGTAATATTAAATAATGAATGAAAATGTTTCAACCAGACGTTTATTGTATCCGACTTGTTTGTTAATACAGTTCCGGTTGTGTATCTACAGTGAGTTATTTGCCTAAGTGTTACAAAATTTAACTTTATATAAAATCTACTACCTACTACCTAAACCCTAAGGAGAAGAATGGGTGGGTTATCAATAAATAGTTCGTATATGTATATTTGCATCCTGATATATTTTTTTGTATCATATAATACATATTTTCAACTAAATAATGAATTCTATAAACATTTTTAGTTTTATTTAGGTAAAACATCAGGGCCATTAAATGTTAGAATAAGTTAACATTCATTTTATATTAAAAATAGAGAATTTGATGGATTTCAAATATGTAAACATACAAATGATAAAAAGGGAAAAATCAAAGAAGCAGCTCTAATTATGCTAAATGAGATCTAGTTACCCTAATTAAAAGAGGAAGTTAATAAAAATAAAATATGGGTATTAGTAAGTCAGTAACATATCGAGAATACACAATTTATGTTTTTTAAATAACAAACATATATAATCAGAATTTGGTGTTTATTGAGAGTAAACTAAATGTAAGACCAAATACTTACCATGTCGGGATAGAATTATGAGGTTTTTTCCTCATAATTTACTATGAGGGGAATCACTAACAGGGGAATTTTACTGTCATCATGGCATGTGGTTGTCTTTTAAAGACTAATTACATGCTATGATTTGTTTCTGACTTAAAGTTGACTTACAATAATCAACAACGTCATACAACGTCCCAGGAATGCAACTCAGAAATATTGGCAATATTTATTATATCAATATATCTGAATTGTCAATATAAATGAGTCAGATAAAATTAAACTATTAATTAACTTATTATATAACAATTTTTTTAAATTTATTTATGTTTGTATTTTGAGAACGATTTCCGAAGTGGAAATTGAAATGTCAATAAATTTTCAATTGTGGCTTATTCCCATTAAAATAGTATCTACTTTAAAATGCCACAAGAAAATAGCTTCAGAGCAATACATATGCAATGTTACATCCAATTATTTTTATTTGGTGTCCTGCTGTCTCTTTAATATTTTTTTTGAAGATCAAATGTGTCATGCTTTGATCAGATTCATCTATTTCCTTCTTTTTATTTATATCTTGGTTTTTTATCATTTAAATGTTTTAAGTTTGCTTTGAATTTTTGTTTTCTTTGTCATTTTTTTTTCTTCAGTTTACACATAGTTTTACAAGAAGTGGGTTATGGTCAGACGGCAAGATTTTACTGATTTGATCCTTTCATGTATATCTGCTAGAGACTTCTAGAGATACGCTGGATCTATTATATACCAGACTCGGAAGTACAGAGTGAATCATTAAAAAAGTCCTCCCTAATATTTAGCATCATCATCATCTTGGTGCTACAGCCCTTAGAGGGCCTCGACCTTCTCAAGCTTTCTACGACATTCTGTCCCTTGCTTGCATTTTCCAGTTGCCGACTCCGATCTTCTCCGCATCTTGTGTTACCCTATCCATCCACCTCAGCTTTGGTCTACCCCGTCTTCTCATTCCCACTAGTTGCGCTGTTAGAATCTTTTTTATCATATTCGATTCAGGGGCCCGGGCTACATGTCGTGCCCACTGCAGGCGGTTTCGCTTAATTATAGTGGTAATATCTTTACCACCAAACGTATGCTTGTATTCTGCAGTTCAAAGTTATATCTACGCCTCCATATTCCGTTCTCACAGACCACTCCGAATATCTTGCGTAGCACCTTTCTTTCAAAAATGGATAGAGCGGATTCATCTGTTTTCGTTAGCGTCCATGCCTCTGATCCATATGTGAAAACGGGGACTATCAGTATTCTATACAGCCTTATACGAGTTTTTTGAGACAGACGTTTGTTAGCTAAGTACTTTGATAGACCATGATAACACGCTAATATTTAGCATGTGCATGATATTTTGTAAAAATGATAAAAGAGATCTATCTTTTTATCTAGATTATTTTTTTTTGTTTTTAGGTCCGAAGGGTCTATGTATGGCAAATCAAGGTGAGCTGTTACATTTTATAATCGACACAATTCTGGATAAGCTTGATACACCGATTTTTGAAAGAATAAGGAACAGTTTAGAAATCCATGTTGAGCAGTCAATGTTTTGCTTATACCAACATCCTAGTAAAAAGAATAAGGTTAGTAACAATATATTATTTACATTTTTATGTAACTTAGATATAATAACTCAATAAATCCTCGGGCTCACATAGAGATGGAATATTTACAACAAATCCTTATATAGTTCGTGTAATGAAAGGGTAGATGCATTAGCAGTTAAAGTAACCCAGACGAAAACATATTGTATAAAAACTCTCATCTTGTGGTAAGAGATAAACTAAAAGGAATCTATTTTTTTATGAATACTTAACAACTTCTATACTCTTGTCCTATGGTATACATGCAAATGGTATTAATCTTAAATAAAAATAAAATAAACATGCAGGTAAAAAAATATAACATGCAATATTTCAGGTGTCCCGTCATTTAGCCGACCACAACGTAGATCCTCTTCCATTGACATGGGAACGAGCCTGTCAACTGTTCGAATTTTATGGACCTGACCATTTACCAGAATTTAACTCATACAAAAATGCTTCGATTTCTGCGGATCTAGAACAACTGTTCAAAAGAATAATTGCTCTGGTTCCACCCAGCAACGCTCTACAGCACCACCTACCGAAGGTTATGGATTACATCCATGGGAAAACTGATAAAATGTGGGAGTCTGTAGATTTTCCTCGCAAAGTAAAAGCGATCTATTTTCTCATCGGTGATTTTTATTTTAAAGATCGAGATTTTGCAAAATGTATAAAATTCTTCCAAATGGACTTATGCATAAATCCTGAACGTTTGGATTCGTGGGCCTGTTTAGGATTAAGTTATGCTGCTCAGTTGGATACTAAACTCAATCATTGCGAAAAATTTAAGAGCGAAATGGAGTTTTTAGATAAGGCGAAATATGCGAGTATTTGCTTTAAGAGAGCTCTAGACATTTGTCCGGATCCGCTTACTTTATGGATTGAGTGTGGCAGTTTTCAGTATAACGTTCATTCCTACTGTTCCAGAGTTATGAAGTTTGAATCGGAAAATTTAAGCATGGAAAGGTAAGTTTTAATTTTTTTAAAGAAAAATGATATCGATGGATTACTTTCTTATTTATCTACCCATTTTCCACTCAATCTATTCCCTGGTCTTAGAATTTTTTTCGTTTCCTACGTATTCCAGATATTAGTTAATTAATTAATTAACGTATTTTCGTTAGTCTTCTTTTTTGGATTTTTGTCATTATTTTTAGTTTGCACCACCTGAAACCAATGCGGTAGTACTAGCAAAACCCGAGGGTAGAGAGGAACGTCCGGAGAATACCAATAACCTCTCAAAATAAAAAGTCATTCAAAAGTATTCAAAAAGGGGATGGCATACAGGCACTATCCTAGTACTAAACTAGATCAGACTCAATCAGACCTGATCATCAACAAACTGGAACAAGCAGCGAATGAGGCTCCTATTGGCAGTCAGAATCAAGTTCTGCAGTTCCATAAAACATACTTTATCACAGTGAACCTGTGGGCAAACCGTGATAACGAGTATAAAAAATGGACCAGTGCGGTGGTGGGGATCATGTGGGAAGGAGCAAACTTAAATTTAGTCAAGCATAATCAAACATAATCAAGGTTTCGAATTACTAAGACGAAGACTGTTAAATCTTAGTTTACGCGATCGACGATGTCTCCTACAAAGCCCAAAGGGATGCTGACTTTAAGCAGTATTGCCGACTTGGAAAAGTATTCTTCAAAACCATCAGAGGCCTCGATGGCTCCAATCAGATTCCTGCAAGCGAACCTCCACCATAGTAAAGCAGCTTCGGCAGAAGTTACTGTTGCTATGAGAGGGTTCGATGTAGCTTTGATACGAAAGCCCTTGGTTTACAAGGGTAAAATAAGAGCTCTATTGAGCATTAGTGGGGAGCTTGTATAATGCCGTTGATGAATCTTTGTTCTAGGAATATAACTTCTCGGATCAGCATACTTTTCATATGACGATCCCGAACAATCACCACCAAGGGAGTTAAAGCAGCTAGTAAGATATTGCAGAAAAAATGAACTGCAATTGATCAGTGGCTGTGATGTGAATGCGCACCATCTAACCTAAGGCTAGAGCTAACAAACACCAATGAAAGAGATGAGTCAATACTACAGTTTGTTATGGAATATAAATTAGATATACTAAACGTAGAAAATAAACAAACGTTCATCACTACACAAGGAAATTGATATAACAGTGGCCATGACTCACGTGGCTAGAACTGTTAAAAAATGGCATGGGAAACAAAACAAACTGAGAAACATTTCGAGCAGGCCTGGAATATTGTTTATACAGAGTTAAAGGAACTAGGCTAGACTAGGAAGGAGTATACTAGACTTAGTCATGGCTGCCTAACAATTTCAAGAGGTTGTCCTGTAGAGGTTCGAAGACAATTGTTCGGACACAGTTAGGAATTCCAACAGGAAAGTATCCCGGTGGAAATGACAACCTTGCAAATCAAAGTTAAGTGAATACACTCGGAGTAGTGGAGAGACCCGAAGAACTTTTTAGAGTGAACTTTCCTGAGTCTAAAACTGATACCACTAGACAAATGACAACAGACTGAACTGGATACCATGACGTATGGTTCTAGGGAAAACTGGCGTTTTTTAAGTGGCAAATCAGAACAAAATCAAATGGGTAATAAACTCATTTGACCCGTATATGTCCCCGGGTCAGGACGAGATTTATCCAATACGTGTACGGAAGGGAAATGACCTTGTGTACAAAAAATTATATATGATACGAATAGGGTACATACCAAAAACATGGAGACTCATAAGAGGGACTTTTATACCCAAACCTGACAAAACCGGGTAGAAAAAAGCTAAATCAATGGGGCCGATAATTCGTATGTTATTTGTACTGAAGACTAGAATATCTGCTCGTTAGCGATTAAGTTATCGTATAAATATAATTAACATTGCAGTTAAATTGTTACTTGTAATGAGTACTTGTAAATATTTTATACACTTTCAAAAGATATTTATTCTAAAAAATAGTAGATTAGATAAAATAGTAATGGTAGAATATGTAGATTTGTTGCTACTAATTATGCAAGCGCAATACATTGCAGTCATTTACACAAAAGTTTTAATATATGATTGCCTTTTCACAAGAACTTTAATAATCCTATTAGCAAAGAGTGTTAAATAAGAAATTTTTTCTGTGTGAAGCAAACTAACAGCAAAACTATACAGCAAAAACAGAATTGTCAACTAATGTTTATTATACCTAAAAGAAATATATTTTGATGACTATGCAATTACTTCATGTGCTTGATTTATTATCAATCTATTACTGAATAATTCTTTTACAAACTTTAAATAAAATATAATATTTCAATTCAGGTGGTGAAAATTATTAAGAATCCTTATAATGTTATCTCATATAAATTTAATAATATGTTTAAATTATAAATACTTATAGGTTTGAGTTTCTCGAAAATCAGAAAAATAGTTACCTGGATAGTTCTGGCAATAGTTTTGAAAAAGCGATCGCTATATACGAACTGGAGGACACAAACGAGGCAGACGAAAGATGGTTACAGTATTACATTTTAGGAAAAATTGCCGAAAAGAAGCAGAAGGAACCGGCAGAATATCTACAGTATTATTTAACGGTAAGAAATTAATAAGATATATTTTATATGATACAGTTAATTAAAAGTTCACCTGAGATTCTCACTTGTATCATCGATTCAAAGTCATTAAAACAAATTCGTGGTTGAATTAGATTAAAATTAAGAATAAATATACGTTATGGCGACTAAATTTTCTTCGCTTTTATTCCTAAACGCAGACTATTTTTCTAATTATATTTATCTATATATTTTTATCTATAATAATATCAGTACATCCCTGCGCAGACATGTTTCTTTTAAATTTCTCTCACAATTTTACCTTACTCTTCTACTTCTACCAGCATCTGGACACTTTTTTTCTAGAAATTCTTCCTATTGGTTGCGTATCATTTAAACGTGGCACTTACGGATGCTTCATTTGGTTCGTTTAAATTAATATTGAGCAAAAAATTGTTTAAAATCCTTTATAAAAGATATATAAAAAATGCCCCAAACGGGCTATCACAAACACATTGCAAAACGTTTTCCGGATTGATAAATCCATCATCAGTGCAAACGGTTGTACATGCTAGTAGCCACCAAAATATATGGGTCAAAACCCTTTAAATGTTTTAAATTTGTAGTTGTTTTACATTATTAATAGTTATAATTTGTGATGTTTAAGTTACCGTTGGATAGGTAACATGGCGGCGTATGACTCGACGTAAACAGGCGACCTGAGACGAAGTGTCTACGAGGACCTATTGATAACATTTTACATCATCTGAATTTAATTTGAAGCAAGTTTTTTTTTTCATATATCCCAAATTATCGCTACTACTTCAGCTTCAGTTTTTGAAATAACTTCCTGAATAACACAGACGAATTTACGAACTCTTTTTTCTCCTGGAAACTCAACTGATACATAGTTGCCTTCTTTATGCCTCGTTAAAAAACCTTTGGTTTTTTTTTCAGAATTATCCACTGGGTTTCTCAAATTTAAACTTGTATCACTAATATCGTCTATGCTGTCACCTGATTCAACCTATTTCTCATCAGACTCTGAATCAGAGGAAATATGGTATGTTGTTTTTGTTTTTCTTTTTATGCTTTTCTTTTGTTGTATTTTGTTTATTTTTATTAGTTTATGTTCTTCTTTTTTAGCGAGCCTTTCTCTAGCTCTTTTTTTTGCTTGTTCTCTTCATGTTCTACTTTAGCTTTTTCCTTTTTCTTATGATACTCCTGCCACTGTCTGGAGGAGGCCACTGATGATATTTGTTCCCATTTTGTGCACATTTTTTAAATCCGTTTTGGAGTATGGAACGAGTAAGTCTCTATTGTAACAACGTATTTAGTAAAGGACAAAATGGACTTTTTTTTAATTGGAGACTCGTGGTTGTCAATTCGCCATTACTGTACTTTAATTTTCTATCCCTCGTTAAGAGTGCGAAAAACGGCAACGTGCAGGGGCTGTATACAATGGGTTGCGTTTAGAAAAAAGGCCGTACGAATTATGCCGTTATCTGCACAAAACCTACTAGTATGCAACGTGACATGTGAAGCATGTCCGTCAATAAAAAGTATAACAGGTAACTTGATGTTGTAGCCAGGGATGAAAAATATTCGCTATAAACTCAAAAAAAGTTTTACCAGACATCCACCCTGAATTCGATTTTTCTATTCCCCAGTTCGGGGGAATACTCATAGCAATTTCCTTCGGAATCCTGTCGTACCTAAACACTACCATAGGCATTCCTTCTCGTCGCTGTTAACTTGCTGGTACACAGTTTTGTCTCCTTTCCGTCCTAGGACTTTCTTTCCTTTCGGGTTTAAAATAAATGCAGATTCATCACTATTAAAAATTCTAGAAGGAACCTCTAGAATGGGCCCATGTTCATTTTTATCCAAGTATTCACGTACTTCTTTAAATCATGTTTGGATATTTTCTTTTTTCTGCTGACAGTAAGATTTTGAGCTGTTCGCTTCGCTACTTCTTTATGTCGTTTTAGAAAGCTTTCATACCATCTCCTTCCGGGCCTATTGTTTGTGAATGGATTTTTACGTTTTAACTGTATGATTAGATGTTGAACACTGTCCAATAAAGTATCTTTTCCAACAGAAAATCCGTTGTCCCATTCTTCGAGATCGTGGCGTAATTCCTTTAACCTTATGTGTCAGAGTGGCACGAGAAACTTTACACGTCTTTGCTGCCCTTGCAATATACAGCTGCTATAGCGGCCTCCGTGTGTTCTTTAGAGTAAGACAATATCTAACCCTTGATGGGGGCATGATAAAACCTAGAAAGATTGACACTCATTTGATGCAGTAGTTGACACGTGTCATCTACTAGTGCGAGTCATTTTAAAGATTTCAAAAGTATTTTTCCATAGACAGAACTATGTATTGAATATAAGTAATACAAAATATGCATGATACGAAGTAAACCGCCCTTGTCCCAGTAATTAACACTAAAAATTAAAATTGTTAATGTACTACGTAAATAAAGAAAAAAAAATTAAAGCTTACCTTCTTTTAACAAGAAATTCAGTAAAAACACAGATCAGCATGTACACATCTCAAAACGATGGCTGCCATATTGTGCCAAAAGGATTTTTAAGATGTAAAGTCATACGTGTCAACTACCGTTACTGTGTCAATTACCGGTACGCTTATACGTCTGAATCAATGGTAATTACCAGTTTCACGTTATCCAGACACATTGAAATCACTATACAAAAAAAAAAACGCCATACCTATAATGTTATGATTATGGCTCCAGAAGTAAAAGCACAGACGAAAACCACTTTTTAAAAGCGTCTGAATTCGTAGCACTTGATTTAGTCTCATTGAGATTACTATAAAAAAAACGGTATACCTATAATATAATGACTAAGCGACGTCTTTTGCAAAAACATGCATTTAAGCCATCCGGCAATCTTTTAAAAACGATTATTTTAATCGTTTAACATTAATCATCTAATGGTGATGAACCTTACTTTCTTTGGTATATGATATATTTATTATTTTTGTTTTAGGCTACTACTTTATTAAACGAAAACAATGCAGAATACCCAGAAAAAATAAACTACAGCAATCCTCAACACTTATCTGTCGAAGCTCTGGAACTTCACTACAGAATCCACGCATCAGTTTTGAAATATCTAGAACTTCATGAAGGAAAAGACATACCTAACACTTTGGGAGCTTTTTTCAAAAAGTGTATGGGCATGTCCAAATTTTTGCAGAAACCATTACCACCACCTCCACCACCACTTCCCCCTGAACAAACAGCAGAGGCACCCAAACTAGAGACGCCGCCTAAATTAGAAACAGTTGTGCCAAACGTAACTGAAGAACTTTGTAAAACTCCGACTACTCCTAATACCAGTTTTCAAGAACAGTTCTTGAATTCTTTAAATAAACTGAGTTCATCGACCACTGATAGTAAAGATGATAAAGCTAGACAAAGTAATGATGTACAAAAGAATGAAGATAAAGAATCTGAGGTAGTCGTAGAAAAACCGATCGTTAACGGAAAGACTGAAACTGAAATTGGTATCGAAAAGACTGAAAGTATAACTGTTAAAGAAAGTTCTGAGATCAAAGTTGACCCTGAACTTGTTAAATCTAAAACTGATACGGAAACTACCGACACAAAAACAATTGAAGATAAAACGGATGTGGAAAATAAAGCTACTGCAATTATTACAGAAGTTAACGACAATAAAAATGATCTGGATAATATTGAAGAAAAATCTACAACGGAAGTTGCAAAAATCTGCAGTCCTGTAGCAAAAACTGACAGTAATACTACAATGGAGAATAATACTGAAGATGACGTTATAATGATAATTTCCGATTCTGAGGATGAAAATAAAATAGATCTATCACCTAAGAAAATGGAAGTAGATGAAAAACAACCTGAAACTTCAAATACTGATGAGAGTAAAGAAGAAGAGGAGAAAATGGCTTTAACAAATAGCAAAGATCTAGATGTTACTAAAGAGGAAGATGTTATTAAAGATAAAATGGAGGTAGATGGAGAAGCAGAACGTAAAGAAGATAAAGATACAGATCAGAACATGGAAGAACAAGACATGTGTAAGGCAAAACAACCGAATGAAGCAGACGAAAACAAGGTGAAACTAGAGGAAAGCTCACTTCCAGGTATTTATGTAGATAATTTGTATTTGGTTTTTTTAATTTCAGTTTAATATGTCTTTTCATCAAAAAACAACAATTTTTTTAAGTGGTTAAATTCCTAATAAGAAATATAAAACTAAAAACAGATTTATTAGTATCGTTAAGCTCCAACTTTTTTCTTCTTTTATTCTCGAAGGAGAATAGTGACATCATGTCTCGATCACTTGGATCGTGGATTTCCAGCCTTCTTTGTCTTGCGCTGTTAGGGAAACTTCGTGTAAATCACGGACAATAATTCCTCTAACTTGATTCACCCAGCATATGGAAGACCTTCATCTCGATGATTTGTCGTGGCAGCCAATTTACGTTGTGTAGGATGGGATGACGAATTGTGTATAGTCGTGTTAGTATGGGTAGGAATATGAAATACGGAGAACTCATGTTTGTTTTTAAGTCTGATAATTTTTAAATCTAGAAAATTTATGGATTGGTTATATTCTGTTTCTATTGTGAATTCAATATGACTATGGAGTGAATTAATATATGATAAGAATTGGTCAAGTTGTCTATTGTAAAACATACCAGTACATCGGCCACGTATCTCCACCAATACAAAAACTGTTTGAATATGGGATGTTTTGAAATATTTGTTTCTAGATGGTCCATAAAAATATCTGATAGCAATGGACTTAGTGGAATTTATAATGGGTAATCTTAAATTGAATATTCCGATATTCAATCAACAGTATAACTAATACCGCGAGAGAAAGTAAAGATACTTTCATTTTTTGCGATTAGTTCGTATTAACATAATATTTATTGTTTTATAAATATGTTTTTCTAAGAATCTAATAACTACACCCTCATTACTTAATCTTTTTTTATTTTAGAAGGATCCAAATTTGGTGCAGTGAAAGATGTACAACAGATGCTGGATGAAATGATGAGGCAGACAATGAAGGAAACCGAAGAAGGGGGAAACGAAGTTGATTCGGATATGAGCGGAACAGAAAAAATAGAAGAAGTTGTTTTAAAAGATGATCAAGAAAGTATGGAAACGAAAGTTGAGACCAAGGTGGAAGTAGTAGTTGAAAACAAGGAAGAAACAAGTGAGAAAAAGGTTAATAACGAAGCAAAGCCTAAAAGGGAAAAACGTAGTGATACAGAGACGGATAATGATAAAAAAGTGAGTACCTTGTTGTTTTTCTGCTAGTGTTATAATTTCATTGAGTTTATTTGTTATCACTGGTTATTAAGTTTATTGTTATGTTTAATAAATTAATTCTCCTGTAATTTTCCGGGTCCGATTTGTCGCCCTTTTTGAAGAGAGGTATTGGGATGCTTGATCTCCATTCTTGAGGAATTCTGTTTTGTTATATTATTTCTTGGATTAGTTTTAATAGTTGTTAGGTCAATAAAACCTTCCGACTTAAATGTAACCTCAATCTTTTGTTGACATAAATCGAGAGTTTCATTATGATAGAAGTAGTGTAGCTACAGTGAATTTTTGAAATTAGCAAGCCGGTTGAAAATGGATTTTAGCCGAGAACATTTTAGAGCAATAATTTTTTAAAACTTTCGGAGCGAATTATCCCAACAGCAATGTCTCACTGAAATGGTTTCTTTGTTTGAGAATGTAGTATCACAAAAATCAACTATTTCTTGCTGTTATTGCGAATTTCAACGTGGTCGCTCCAATCTTAGCGACGAATCCAGGCCAGGTCCACCCAAAACAGCAGTCACACAGCAAAACATTGATGCGGTAGGTCAGCTAATTAAGGATAACCGCTGTGTAACATACCGGGAGATAGAGGCATCTTTGGGCATTTCAAAGACCTCTGTTCAAAAGATCCTACATGAAGAACTAGGTATTACGAAGTTGGTTTCTCGTTGGATCCCTCATTTGCTCACAGAAGAGTGAGAAAATCATTGGAACGGTTTAACAAAGGAAGCTCAAAAATAATTTATAGCATTGTTAATTGCGAGTACTACTGCGCCAATCCGCTATATGGGTGTTTCAAGATAATAAAATACCAACAAAAGTGATCCGTTCTCGAAGTGTGTCAAAGAAAATGGTCACTTGAAACTTTTATGTCAAAATCTGGTCATGCGGCAACAATTGCTTTATATGAACAAATAACGGTTACTTCTGATTGATATATAACCGTTCATTTACCAGAAGTTATAGCGAAACTTCGACAAAGCAGTCACACAACGGCGAATCATCCTACATCAGGACAATACAAGTGCTCACACTGCCCAAAAGAAATTAGAGTTTTTGGAGCTTCAAAACATCGAATTGTTAAAACATCCCCGTATAGCCCCGACCTAAGTCCCAACGACTTCTTCACGTTCCCAAAGATCAAGAATTCAGTGCGTGGGCAGCGATTCCAATCTCCAGAAGAAGGCATCGATGCTATTAATCAGCGATTTTGCAGGTGTCAACTGAAGACTGGAATTACTGTTTTACCAATTGGTTTGAACGTATGCAAAAGTGTATGGATCTTGGTAGATTATATTTTGAAAAGCAATAAAGTAGTTTAAGTCTATATATATATATATATATATATATATATATATATATATATATATATATATATATATATATATATTGTCTTTGTGGCTATGTGCAGAACTAAAAATAAAAAGGCAACCCTCGTATCAAGAACTTACATTTGGTCAGAGTTTACTTAACGTAGTTAACCTTAATAACGAGTTTCTTGAATGTCTACAGATAACATTAAAAGCAGCAGCAAGCATTGTTGACAGATAACACGGGGAAATGCAATCATGTTTGGACAACATGAAACCATTAAATCAAATTTATCACGATCATTTAAGTGTGAAGAATTCTATTCCATACAATTTAAATCAAGAGCAAAGAAAAAATATTCATCTCATAGACATCAAATTTGGAATATAACATAGTTAGTGGTGACGAAAGTTGGATGTAGGATCAAGCCTGGAAACCAAACAGCCATCAACAGTTTATGTTATGTTCCCAAACGAAATAAAACCAGTATAGGTTATTGATCCCGCAATACTTCCAAGAAAATGGTTGAGAGCTCTCTGTTAAAAACTGGACATGTTCCGATAGAAGGTCGTAGAAGTATAAATGTGCAATAGTATGCAACAATTTAAAAAGGACATTTTGCTTACACCCATTTCTGACTGAAAAAAAAAATGTTTTGCAATAACATTCACAACATAGTCAATGATTGATTTAAGTATTACTTATACTGTTATATTGTGTTATATATATATATATATAATATATATATATATATATATATATATATATATATATATATGTATATATATATATATATATATATATATATATATATATATATAAATAATGTTACTTTATAGTATTTACTATAATCATATTTATAACTCTGTATAAAAGTGGGAAGAGGATGCTGACCTCAAGTACACTTTGTAAACTTTCTACTTTTTAGTTTTTTTTTTTTAACTATGACCCTAATGTTCGTATATTATTAAGTTTTTTATGGAGTTTTAAAAATTTCTCTCAAAGTATGCGTAATTCATATCTTGTTTATTTTTACTTTTGTTTGTCTGTTGCCTCGGAGTCTAAGTGTAAAAATGATTTAATAGAGTATTAATAAGCAACATTTGTATAAGTTAAGAACGATTCCTTATTATTTGCAGGCATCGGCGGGAGAGTCGAGTAGTGGGTCCAGTTCTTCATCCAGTTCAAGCGATAGCTCGGATTCCGACAGTGATGATGACGATGATGATAGCAGCTCTAGTAGCTCTTCATCATCTTCTGACGATAACAGTGAATTCATGTCTCAGAATGAAATATCGCATCTCATAGATAGATGTGTAAATGGTAAGTTACTATATGGTTTATTGCTTTAGCATTTATTATTCTGCAGTGTAGGACGAACTTAAAACTGGAATTGCCACTGACATCTGTCATTAATAACGAATATGTATATCATCGGCTTTCAATGATTTACTAATATTTAAAAAAAAAACGTATTTACTGGAATGGGTAAAGACAACTATTAGCGCCTAACATGGCCAAAATATTCGTTTGCGATTTTTAACTGCTCTGGCCAGTTCCATAATTTTTCCCATTTCCGCAATTTTTCTCATCAGTTGCAAAACAACCTCGTTGCGAACTTTATCTACACAACTTATTCGCAGAATTCTCCGATACACCCAAATTTCAAAGGCTATAAGTTTTCTTAGAAGTTTATCCATCCAACTTTCTATATTAATTTTCAGTCTCTATATTTGTATTATTTGTTTTTAGGTTTGGAAATTTGCATCACTCGCTTAACTCAGAATTATAAAGCTCTATACCGCCTGGCTCATCTCTATTTTCACTATAAACTGAAAAAAGATATTACTAAATCTAAACAACTTTTACTTAGTGAATACAAATGTAAAGACGGCACTGTCGTTTCTGGACTCTTTAATGATAGGAAACCGAATAACTTTTTTCACGTAAGTATAATTTGCTAAACGACTTGAAACTATTAAATGGCTGTTAAAATATCGCAAAAAAAAACGTGTTTTGGTAAATATATTGAAATGCAGTGACGTTGAAACAAGTGTCGTGTTTCTTAATGAACTTTTTATTTAGAATTTTCAATGGAGTATCTTTACTACTACATGACTACAGTTAGTAAGAAAAAATTTCAATGTCTTATTTGTCATATATGTAGTATGATATGACAAATATTATGTATTATGTTAAACATTTTCTCACATGTTTTACATGTAAATTCGCTGTACTGTCTCACCCTGTCGTTTTATGCCCTCCTCTTATACCTACATACGAGATGTATAACTAACAAACTTGGTATACCATCTAATTTACATACCGATGCACGTCATCGGCGTTATATCCCGTGACGTCACATGATACCAACACGAAATATTTGGGCGGTAGGTGTGTTCTTTTTAGAATCATTTTGCCGAGTACACTGGCATTACAGCCACTAGACATATTATATACGCGTAGAAATAATATTTAAAGATTTCTATTAGAATAGAATAGAAATATGCTTTATTGTCACTGAAAATTATTGAACAATTTTATGGACAAAGCTAAAAAATAAATCAGTCAAATAGTGCAAAAAGTATAAAACAAAAACAAATATAGTAAAAAACAGAATAACACAATTTTAAATTAGTAAAATTATTGTATAACCCACATAATTTGTACAGACAACAACAAATGAGACAAATTGTAGTCACTGCTTGAAACACCCAAATGTAATTATAAACAATAGTAATTTTGTTTCTTTGTTATACATTAAGAAACTCGTCAACTGAATAATATGGTCTTTCTGAGAGATAGATTTTTGTCACCTTACGAAACTTAATGAAGGATGTTGCGGATTTAATTTCTCTTGGAAGGTGATTATAAAGTTTCTTTGCACGATATAGAATAGAATTCTTTACTAGCTGAGTGGACGGGATCGGCAAATAAACGTTACAATCCGAATTTCTAATGGAGTAGCCATGGTCAGGTCTATCGGGAAAAATGTTTAGATGCTTTCGAATCAAACAAACCGTTTCCAAAATAAATAAAGAGGGAAGCGTCAAAATTCCGTGATTTTTGAAGTAGGTCTTGCAATGAGTTGTTTGTTTGAGACCAAATAGATAACGGATTGCTCTTTTTTGCAACTTAAAAATAGTATCAAATTGGGCCGCTGTACTAGAACCCCAAAATGGAAGCCCATATCGAAGATGGGACTCGAACAATGAGAAATATGCCATTTTGGCAGAAGATAAATTTAGTTCCTTCGAAACAGATCTTATTGCAAAGCAAGCTGAGGCTAGTTTCTTCCTTAAGGAGTCAGTATGCAAGGACCATTTGAGATCACTGTCAATGAGAATACCTAGAAATTTCACGGAATTTACGATATTGATTTGGCTCTCATTCAAAAGCAAGGGTTGCATGACTCCTTTATAAGATAATGCTACAGTCTTATCCACGTTAAAGCTAAGTAAGTTGGAGTCTGACCAAGCCTTGATTATAAGTAAATCAGCGGTTATAATTGAATGAAGCGTTGAAATATCAGAGCTGCTACAAGTAATACTGGTATCATCAGCAAATAGAAAAATTTTCCCTTTAATTTTCAAGTAAGTGATGTCATTAATGAAAAGTAAAAAAAGAATGGGACCTAATACTGAACCTTGCGGTACTCCACACTCAATATCTTTACAACTAGAGTCGGTGTCATTTATTCTAACCAATTGTTTCCTACCTACCAAGTAAGTTTTGAACCAGTTCAAAGACACGCCCCGAATTCCATAGAAAGTTAATTTTTTTAATAGAATGTCGTGATTTACGCAGTCAAAGGCTTTGGAATAGTCGCAGAAAACGGTGGCGGAGGAGAGGTTACTGTTTAGTGATAGATATACATCATGTAACACAGAAAATATGGCATCACTAGTGCATTTATTAGACAAAAAGCCGAACTGATTTTGCGATAAAATATTATATTTAAGGAGAAAGGGCATAAGTCGAACTTTTATGTCTTTCAATAATTTTTGATAGTGCTGGTAACAAGGCAATAGGTCTATAGTTGCAGGCATCAGATTTTTCTCCGCCTTTATGAAGAGGAATGACGATGGCAGTCTTTAGGCAGTTAGGGAATGTACCTTTTTCAAGGGAATCATTTACTAGCGAGACCATGACCTCCAAAACATTATGCGGTAGATTTGAGAAAATTTTAATAGATAATCCATCTGTACTACAGGACGATGTGCTTTTTATACTACGAATTGTTGAAATGAGTTCCGTCTTATCAACTGGTCTTAAAAAGAAGGTATCAGCAATGTTTTTTGAATTAGAGAGATAGGAAACTGGATCTTGTTGTGGCGAAATAGTTGAGGTTATATTTTTACTCACATTAACAAAGTAATCATTTAGATTTTCGGGGTTAGGAAAAGAAAAGGTTTGATTCGCTGTACTGGTTTTATTTCGAAAATCGTTTATTATTGACCAAGTTTCTTTTGAAATATTTTTGGAGCTTGTTAAGCGATTATGAAAGTAGGATTTTTTTGGCTACTTTGAGTAGTTTTATATAGCATTTTCTGTACTTATTGATATAATCAGAGATGGGGATACTGTCATTATTTTTTTTTAATATATAGCAGAGAATAGAGGAAATGCTTTATTAAAAATAGATACAAGTCTATTTAGAAAATCACTAACATTACAGTCAATGTCCGCAGAAGAAAAACTCCAGTCAGAAGTTAAGCATGAATTATAGAATTTACGAAAGTTTTGAGTGGAAAAAATCCTACCTAATTGTCGGGTTTTTGAGTGAGGTGTTTGTAAACTGCTAAACTTCTTCTTCTTAGCCTTCTGTCGTCAATGTTTGGACATAGGCCTCTCCCAACTCCTTCCATCGGTCTCTATCCTGAGCAACATATTTCCAATTTGTTCCGGCTATTCTTTTAATGTCATCATTACCGAGTATCAGCGGTATAACTGTAACACCCGGAATTAAGTGAATGTAATTCCATTAAGATTGAGTGGTGCCGACCCATCTTTTCCGAGGGGTGTTGGCTGAACTGAGTAGGCCGCTAACCTCTTTTTCTTATACCCCACCAACCCGACTGCATGGTGGGTTATATCCAAAACCTCCACAACCAAACATGTTGATTGCATTTTAACTTACAGCAAATGGCAATTATGCTGAATTGCGCAAAACGACGTATTTTCGCTTAGAAATACCGGACTTAGCAGCCCGAACGGGTTCAGTTCAATACTTTTAGTATGTGCATGTGGCACATTAGACTGATGGTACGGTGATCGCAACTTTGTCTGGCGTTTTTCTTTTTCGGTATAATCACGAATGTTGATAGAAACCATTCTTTAGGTAATTACCTGTTCTGTACATGATAATAAATAATTCGACAATAACATGCATATTGCAGTCGGCGATAAGCAATATTTCTATCGGTATTTCGTCTGGTCCTACTGCTTTCCCAGTATTCATTTCTTTAATTGTGTGTTTTACTTTACTTTTTTATTTCTGGTCCAGTCTCTTTAACGAAATATTCTTTATCTATTTTGCCTCGTTTGTCGTTAAACAGCTGTTCTCTATAGTTTGCCCATACTATCAATTTGTTTTCTGTATCCATTACTATATCTCCCTTTTCATCAACTAGTATATTTTGTTTATATTCTGGTCTTCTAGTTAATTATTTTATTTTCCTGTATAAATTAAAGCTTTCATATCTATTTTATAGCATTTCTCAAGCATTATCAATTTTTTTGTTATTCGAATTTGTCGCCGTATTTCGTTTTTTTTGCTGGTACAATGATTTATTTTTGTCCTTATATACTCTTCTTTTGTTCATCAAGTTTAGTATTTCGTCCGTCCTCCAATCTTTTTTCTTTTCTTTGTTTTTGCGTATATACTTTTTTGAAGGTTCTATTAAGTCAGTCTTTATATTTTCCCAGTTTTTGTTTATGTTTTCTTCATTGCATTTCCCTTCAATATGTAGGGTGTTTAGTGTTTGTAACAATCATATTATTATCTATTATTATCTTGGCAGAATTGTATCAACCTATCTCCTCTTTGATTTCTATTACCTAATCCAAAATTTCCCGCTACGTTGCTTGTACTACCCTTTCCAATTTTGGCTTTCAGATCACCCATTATTATTGTGACGTCACGTGCTTTGGTAGTTCTCAATGCCTCTTGAATTTGTTCATAGAACGATTCCACCTCTTCGTCATCTTTTTCGGCCGTTGGGGCAAAGACTTGAATTATATTCATTTTTCTGTCTTTCGTTTTTAATTGTAGTAGCATAACTATTTCAGAAAAAGCTAGAAAATTCTGGACGTGTTATGAGATTTAATTGTTCAATATTATTGCCAGGCCATGTCGATGTTGTGTGTCATTATTACATTACGATGTTGTGTGTAAAGTTAGTGTCTCTAACTTTACATTTTTCATTTCTTATCCATCGGGTTTCACTTATTCCTAAAATATTGATGTTAATTCTTTTCATTTTCATCACTGTTTAGGGCTCTTTCGGTATGATATTCTACCAAGGGCTCTGCATTTCATATTTGCTGCCAACTCTTTCCTAGGGTCCGCGGCGTCAACTGGTGGACGCTATTTCCATAGTTTTATCTAACGATCCTGGTCGGTGTTTTCAATTGACGCTGTGAAACTTTACCGGAATTGAATCTCTATGGTTGCCTGAATTGATCGAAAAATTTTCATTCATGGAGTTTTCAATCCGAGTTCACACCGATCACGACACGACACTTTGTTAAGAATATTAAACTGTTTTTATTTATCTAATTTATTGTCTTTATTTATTATCAAAGGTTGTACATTTATAACACTTACAAGTTTATTAGAATCTTTATATATTTATTACAGTTTTACACTTATCACTAAAAACTAGAACACAATTTTTTTTGTGTTTTACTTTAATTTATATTATTTATTTACAATATTTATATTCGGACTGAAAACTGTTTACAATAAAATTTCTATTTATACTAATCAACCGTTAGACTAGAATTCCGGCGATTTCCTTCGAACAGACTAGAAGTTCACCCGGACTGGTTTCCATTCGACCTTCTTCTGGAATCTTCGAATAATAGAAGACCCGTCAGGTATTACCTGAAGTTTCTGCCGGCTAGTCTATGATCTAGAAAACACTTTAATGGATTATAAATAATATGTTTAAAGTTATAAGTCATATTTATCGTAACAATATAATCCATAAACTGCATTATGAAATACTGAAGATGTGCTGCGTGGTTTTTTTCTAGCCGTCGATTACTGTAAGCAACTCTGCCAATCTTGCCAAGGTTTTGTAAGTGATCATTTCATTTTGTAGTTTTGCCATCTTTAAAGCCTGGATATTCAGCTTAAAATAGATGGAGAAGTCTTTTTTTATCAAATTGTAAAAATACGATCGTATTTTCATTAATAACTATCGTATTTTTAGTTTTATCTTAATTTTTTAACCTTCTAGGGAATATGGAGAATACCTTCTACAGAAATAGATAGACCTGGTTCACTTTCAGCACATATGAGTAGATGCCTATCGTTACTAATGCAAATATTGAGGAATACTAACGATAATAAAACGTTGATAGATTTGTGTGTACAGTTAACAAAAGTTCCGGATCCCGATAAGTAAGTTTAATTTTTTGTACGCTCGTCCAGATGATGTTTAATTGTTCACTCACATCATGTACATGTACATTGACTTTATATTTAATTTGTTAATAATTGTTATTTATCATATGTTTTCATATGCTAAACAATAAATAAATTCATCTTCATACTGTGATATGTCGGTGGTGTATTTACTACCATGATTTAAAATTTTGCTGTTTTTCACAAATTCACACTTTTCAGCGGTGTGCACTTCGTGCCATCAAAAAGTAGATAATAAATGTGGTTCATTAATATTTTCACTATTTTATTACTGAAAGTACAGTGGTGTACTACATTTTTTCAATTGAAATAAGTTTTTAGATGTGTCACGTGTAATGTCTTTAATCATTTTTTAATCATTAAAAAATTTCCAGGCGGCTTTTTCACATTGCAATGTTAAAATTTAAGGCTAAACATAGACTTTAGTTGCATAATATCAAATCTGTTTTACATAATGGATTAAGTATTTTCTACTATAAAGTTTTTTGAAAAAAATTTTTACTATTAATTCGCTATGTGCTTTTTTGATTTTCACAACCAATTTTTTGTAAAACTGGATGGTTTATTTACCAACGGAATGTATTACTTTGCATGTAAGTTGTTATTTACATTATTTATCTCTTTTTACTTGATGTCATGTTTTCAATCGGCATTCTCCTTTTAATCTAAGGAACTGTTTTTCCTTCTAAGAGCAGCTTTCTTCTTCACAGATAGAAACTGATGATGTTTTGTCAACACAAAACGAAACGTTTCCGCAATATATGGAATAGCTAACACTTTTAGTTTTTTTTCTCCTCTTATCTAACTGATATCTTCAAGAATTACAGTGTGACAGTGTGAAAGGGGTTTCACCCCATTCCATTGTTCTTCACTGCATCTTATATATATATATATATATATATATATATATATATATATATATATATATATATATATATATATATATATATATATATATATATATATATATATATATATATATATATATATATATAGATATTGTTTTGTTGACCATAGGAATTAAGATTTATGGCAATCTGATCTCTAGAGTATATTTATTATAATGCTCTAAAACTAATTTTTTAGTTATTTTTTAGCCTTAATAGAAATACAAATAAATAAGTAATTAAATAAGTAATATGCTTTATTGTCACTAAAAATTGTACAAATTTTATGGACAAAGCTTATAACAATAAGACAAGAAAGAAGAAAAAAAATCAGAATAAGAATCGTTTGTACTTTTAAATAATAAAAAAAACATTAAAATTCTTCCAAACTTAAACATAAAAAATACTACCTAATTAAGAACCTACACTTTTTAAAATGTACCTAGCAAAAAATAAAAATTAGGAAAGCAGATTAATGAATTAAGGGCTCAAATATTCCACTTCCTTGTGCTAAACAGTAATCAAATCTGTCATACACATTTCTCCTCATATTTTGGAGTAGGGCTGGTATAGTGCTTGCAGATAAATGAAGTATTTTTGCCCTTAAATTGACTAAGTTTGTGGCCCTTTCAAACTGATGCATATAAATGACTTCTTTGAGAAAACTCCAAAAACAGAAATCGTTACGCGCTAAGTCACAGGATCTAGCGAGCCATTTAATTGTACCACGTGTACTTATCAGTCGATCAGGAAACGTTTGATTGAGGAAGTCAATAGTTGTGAGCTGAACACCCATCCTGTTGGAAACAAACCTCCTGAAAATAAACGGGAAGTCGTCGAACTGCCAAAATGATCTCATTCTGGAAAAGTTGTAAATGTTTGGGCCCGTTTAGGTTTCCATCGATAAAAAATAGACCGACAGTATAGTCTCCTAACATCCCAGTCCAAACATTTAATACCTTGAATAATACCTTGCAATGGATGGATTGTGTTTTTTATCTAATGAAAATGAAGATTCGTTAAAAAATAAAATATTTTTTAAAAAGTCTACATTTTCATTGTGTTTATCTAACATAAATTAATTAAACTCCATCCGCCTAAAGTTATCTTCGGGAAACAGTTCTTGTGTTGATTGTATCTTAAAACAGTGATACCCATTCCTTTTGAGAACTCGCTGGACAGTTCGAGCATTTACGTTAACTTCCTTAGCAATTTGTACACTATTGCAGGTTTCGCTAGCTTCCACCAAAGCACAAATATCAATATCCCTGTTTTGACGCTCCTCATCGACAGGTCTAACACGTGGTTCATTACCTTCATGACACTTTTTACAACTGTTTACACATCCCGAAGTTTGAAAATGTTTAAGATATTTCTAACTGTTGTAACACTTGGTGGATGTCTATTTTCGAAGGCAACAATAAATAAATCAATTACTTCGCTTATCGAACGACCCTGCAAGTACCATGTTATAAGTTGCACTTTTTCTTGGACGGTATACAACGTAATAGGCATTTTATTAATTATTTGTTTATTCTTTCAGAACTTCGTTTGAAATTTTTATGTCAGTGTGACAATTACGACAATTCGTAGCTACCGTGAAATGAATATAGAGGTGGAAACGTGTAACATGTCACAGCGATTGCCATTGTGTTGTATGCTCAATAAAACAATGTCGTGATCTATATATATATATATATATATATATATATATATATATATATATATATATATATATATATATATAAAGGAGTACGACCGTCAAACAATTATTCAATGCAGTAAGTTTCAAAAGAAAAATTCTTTTGATCAACGAGGATATCGGTCAAAGGAGAAATAATAAGGAAATCACAGTTCCATTCTTATATTTGAAGACGTTTCGCTTGTGGTGTTCACAAGCTTCATCAGTTCAAATCTAAAAAATATTACAATGATGGTAGGTAATATTATACAAAAACATGGAAAATTAACTTACGAATGTAGAGTGAAGAATAAAGGGTGTTAAACAAACACACCATTCCCTTTGTTAACTGTGGTCAAAACATTAAATTTTTGGTAAAATTATAGCTTGAAAGTTTCTATGTAGTAGCATTCGTGTTTTTCAAAGCGAAAAAGTTTGATTTACAAATGAACGACAGAATAAAAAACTACTACCAAGCTTACTAAAAAACTCGTCAACATTACACGTAAAAAACTAACTTACAACAGTCAAATGTAGAAATAAAATAACAAAGTGACTAAAACGCACTGGCACAGAGCTGAATTGTTATAACAAACAAATTTTGAACTTCACTTTAGGGCGCATTTCCATCTAACGGGTTCGGACTCGAAAAACGAAAGTCAAATTGCCGGCATTTTCCTTGCAATAGAATGTGTGAATTTATTAGTTCTGAGTTGATCCAACTTGCTGTGGGAGAATGAGACGAGCAGGCGCAATACACAGAAACGCAAACCTAACAACGCAGAGAACACTGAAGCAAATAGATTGTTAAGTACAAATGTCTACAAAACCAATATGTGGTGAAGATAGGTTGGAATTGGGAGTTTAGAATGACAATTATACAACTATAATACTAACGAAATCTTGATAGTAGAGGGCCAGCAGATCGAAAGAGTAAAAAAGTACACTTACCTAGGAACACTTATAACAGAAAATAATGACTACACGGCAGAAATCAAAGTCAGAATCGAAAAAGCACGTTCTAATTTTATAAAAATGAAAAAGGTCCTATGTGGCAAAGATCTAACATTAGCTCTAAAAGTACGCCTAACAAAATGTTACGTATACAGTGTACTATATTATGGAGTGGAATCATGGACGTTAAATCTAGATACCATGAGACGACTTAACGCCTTTGAGATGTGGACCTATAGAAGAATTATGAGGGTTTCCTGGGTAGATAGAGTTACAAACAATGAAATACTGAGAAGGAAATTGAACCTACAATTAAAGAAAGAAAGCTACAGTATCTCGGACATGTGATGCGGGGCGATAAGTATGGCATCCTGCGACTCATAATGCAAGGAAAAATAGATGACAGAAGAAGCATCGGAAAAAGACGAATTTCATGGCTGAAGAACCTGAGAGAATGGTTTGGATGCAGCTCAAAACAACTATTTAGAGCTACTGCCTCAAAAATTAAGATAGCTATGATGATTGCCAACCTCCGTAGCGGAGATGGCACCTGAAGAAGAAGAAGAATGACAATTAGTCACGGAGGGAAAATATACATTGTCTAAGAGAGGGTTTATGTAATTAGGTATGAATCAGTAAGGGATGTAAAAGGTTGAAAATAAGAATAAGTGAATTTGGTAATAAACGATCAAAAGAAAATGGCAATGAGAGAGTCTGGATGACGAAAATAACGTCGAAAATTTTTCATTTGATATTGGAGAGAAGAGAATGGTATACCAAACTGAGATTGTCGATGTCCGTACGTTTATTCATAGTGGAAGGATTGAGGAAAATGTGGCACATTTCTAGGAAGGTTCTCTTGAAATGGTTGCTTTCTGTGCAAAGAATTTTAACATGTTCATAATCAGGTCGGTGGTCAGACGTAAGAATGTGTTGTGCTAAGGCACTGGAATGTTTATGGCATCTAATATCACTCTTGTGAGAAATTAGTCGGCCTTTAAGGGATCTGGCCAATGTAACAAAGGTTACAATCCATACAGGGGATGTTGTAAACCACATTGATCTTTTCCAACGGGTTTAAAGGGGTTTTAGTTTTAGAAAAAAGTTTACCAACTGATCTGACATTTTTAACTCCAATTTTAATTGGTGTAGATGTTAGGAGTTTTGCGAGTTTCTCAGTCAGATGAGGAAAATAAGGAAGAGAGTAGTAACGTGAAGGGGAAGAAGAACCGTTATGGGAGTCGTTTTCTGGTGTGCCTACTGAGATATCAGGTTGACTCTGTACTTGACTATTATTCAAACTGTGTCTAGAAAGTGTGTAACTAGTGGAAAACAGAAATTTATTGATTACGAATAATGGATACGAATTCTGTAACAAAATGGATTTAAGATGGCTAAGAGAATCCCTTCGGTGAGAAGGATGTGTCAACCTATGAACCCTAAAACTAAGAGCTTGTACGAGGTTGTATTTGTATCTCATCGCATGGCATGAGTGGTAATTAAGAAAACGGTTACTAGCCATTTCTTTTCTATACCAAGAAGTACTTAACCTAAGGTCACAACCTCGAATGATACGCATATCTAGAAAAGGAATGCTATTATGATTCTCCAGCTCACAAGTGAACTGTAGGTGAGGATCATATGCATTGAAATGTGATAAGGTGCTCTGAACCCTATCTGGCGGAAGTGCCAATATTAGCACTGGTTTAGTTTTGTAAACTGAATTTTTCAAGTATCCCCAATAAAAATATTCTTTAGAATTGAAATCAGGTGAACGTGGAGACCATTCAATTCTACCTCGTCTACCGATCCATCGTCCTGGAAATATCTCTTCTAAATAACCCCGAGCATTTACCCCAAAATGAGCTGGAGCTCCATCTTGCCCATATCTGATTAAAATTGGCCCCAAACAAGTCTATTTAAAAAGTATTATTATTATTTATTTATTTTTAGTACAATTTCATTTCTAAGTAACATTTCGTAATTATCTGAAGTTAAATTTCCTTCGATAAAAAATGGCCCAATTAACTGAGTACCTACTATACCTGATCATACATTTAATTTTTGTAGTCTTTGAGTTTGGTTTTCACGCATCCAGTGTGTTTACGTTACTTTATTACCTTAAATTATGTCGATTTATACTTCCACACAGTGTAAAGGTTGCTTCATCGGAAAAACTTTTCTGTTAACGAAATTTTTATCATTTTCCATTTTATCCATGATTACCTCAGTAAACTCTAATCTACGATCGAAGTCATCTTCACTTATTTCTTGCAATAAGATAATTTTGTATCATTTATAAATATTCTTATGTAATACACGTAAGACTGAAGAACTACCTACATCATGTACTTGTGCAACCCTGCGTGAGGATGTATGTGGATCTTCAACAAAAGTTTGCACCATATCTAGTCTTGTTGTCATTCTTAACTCTTTTCGGTCTAACTGATCGGTATCTATCTAGTAAATTCGTAATTCGTAAATTGTAAATTGCTTTTCATAATTTTACAAAATTTGGTGTAAATGTTCGGCGTTATTTAGAAGAGATATTTCCCGGACGATGGATTGGTAGACGAGGTAAAATTGAATGGCCTACACGTTCACCTGATTTCAATCCTAAAGATTATTTTTATTGGGGATACTTGAAAAATTTAGTTTACAAAACTAAACCAGCAAGTCTTGCAAAACTAAGGCAACGAAATATCGATGAATCTCGAATCATTTCTAGACAATCATGGAAAAATGTGGTAGACGCATTCTACCATCGATTAGGGTACTGTCAACTCACATGGAGCACATTTTGAACACTTGATAAAGTAACCATTATGTTAAAAAATGTTGTAATCTATCAATTGTTACATTTTAATGTAGTAAAAAATAGTTAGTATTAAAAAAATTAATGACACAATTAGGCGTTGTCAGACTTTATGTTTTATGTATTTAAGATCTTCCAAACTACATAAAATCATAAGTGTTATATATGGTTGAACTCGTATTTAATACTAGATTCCAATAATAACTGAATATACAGGGTGATGAATTTGAAAAACCAAAGTTACTAAAATATAAAAGAAACGGCAAATCTGGCAACATTGCAAATATTAAATATGGAATCTCCGTATCCCAAAATAAGTATACCTTAAATTTTGTACAATTATAACTAGCAATTTACGAGATAATTGGCCGTTTCCAGACTTGGGCCACTCATTCATATATATATATTATATATATATATATATATATATATATATATATATATATATATATATATATATATATATATATATATATATATATATATATATATATATATATATATCTGACAACGTAAGGAAGTAAACTTTAAATATTGGGTTTGCAGCAATAAAAAATGAAACGTGTACTTTCCTAAATTTTTATTCCAAGGTTTCGTACGTTGATTATGTCCTTCTTCCAACTTAATGAGGTTGTATCATCAATGGTTTATACAATGTTGATAAAATTTATCACAGTCTGTCATAGTTGTTAAGTATAAAACCTATTCCTATATTTAAAATTAAAACATTACTTTACATTCACAAACAATTATTCTTAATTTTTCTTAATATATATATATATATATATATATATATATATATATATATATATATATATATATATTAATATATATATATAATATATATATATATTAATATATATATATATTTTCTTAATATATATATATATATATATATATATATATATATATATATATATATATATATATATATATATATATTACTTTCTTTTTGTATTTGCCGCCACGCGTCATTTTTTGAGAAATACATTAAGCCAAAAAGGTAATTTGGGCTGCTCCTGCTTATTATTTTTAGTTTTAATAATTGCATCTTTGAATCTTAAAATTCTTGCATTTTTAGGATATATATAAAGAATTCAGAAAGAATGGCTTTCTCTGAACAAGCGATGACGATGTGTATCCAAAGTTTTAAGAGTCAAATTAAGCTCGTTCCTAACATGACCAATCCACAGATCGCGAAAATTCTGCAAGAAATATATAAAATATACCAGAGGTTGATGAAACATGTACCATCCAAAGAAACACCTTTTGCTAATCTGTTAGTGGAAGTTTACAAACAGTTTATAAAAGAAAAGGTAATGTTTTTATTAACAAAGCTTTTTTTATACTTAGCTAACAAAACACTGATGTATCATATCGGTGTCATATTTGTAACATGTTTCTACTAAAACATTATCCCGAATTGGAGTCCCTTAAACTATCTGCTAGCAATAAGGTATCGTCTGTATATTGTTTATAAATTGGCCAGTTACTGTAATACCATTTTCTGATTCGCCCAGGACTTTTCTAAAGATGTTTTCAGAGTATATGTTGAATAGTGCTGATGTAGTGACAGTATGCAAGCTTGTCAAACTCCTTTTCCGATTGTTATGTTGATTTCGGACAGTTCATTTTCCAATCGCACTGTTTCTTTTTGTTGGAGATCCTGATATTCCACATGCCTTCTCGAAATCGAATAAACATTCATACACATCGCAGTCCACATCCCTGGCTGTCTGTATTACAACTTGCAAGCTCCGAAGTCTAGCTCTGAATAAAAATTGAACTTCACTTCGGTGTTCTAATTTGGTGTATATGTGCGAGTGAATGATAGGAAAGAGTACTTTAAAGTACATGGCTTATCCAACTAATTAATCTAGAGTTCTGACTTATACACATGAAAAGAAAAATATTTGCCACATTTTGGGACTTTTCCAATAAAAACAAAATGTATGAGAATAAAAGACGAATACTTATTGACACCGAGTGTAAGCTCCACCAAGAGCAATCTAGGTACCAAGTTTCAATACTAGGACTTTTCTTTCGAGAAAATAAAGAAGTATAAAAATATGAAAAGAAGTAAAACACCTAATATTCCCATATTCTTACTTATATCAGGGAGCAACTGTGTTCCAAGCTTTAAGACTCAAGGACTTTTCCTTCAAAAGTTATCGCATAGACGCACCACGCACGATCTGTAGGGTCCTTACTGAAATCGTGATAAAAGAATTGTTTAATCTTTTAGTATGTTCTTCCTTGGTCTTCCCTTTCTTCTTTTGTCACATCTTTTGGATTTCTTAACCTGATTTGTTATTCTCCCTTGGTTTAGTTGATATCATTACCTGTATATAAACTTATCTATGAAATTCGTTGTTAAAAAAGTCTTAAGTGTTGTGAAATGTGTAACATTACTAAACTATATTTATATTAAGAATTTTGTTTTCCATATAAAAAGTTTGCTATAAAATTCATTTTATCGACAACTCGTAATCAAAAATCATATTTTTATAATTTTTATTTTAGATTCCTGAAAACGTTAACATTCTTGATTTGGCTGTTAAATTTTGTATGCAGAATAAGTCTGCGGAAAAGAGTAGGCAGCAAGGAATTTCACCAAAAACTCCCATGTTTGTACCTAGAGGACCAGGAATTTCAACATCTGTAAGTAGTTAGAATTAGCGAAGATATAAACACTATCAATTAAATACTTGATGTACCTATCATTTATATTCGTCATATCGTTTTATTACCTATCAGTACTAATAGGTAAGAACATATGAAGATTTATGTTACTTCAGTATTTTAATTATACATGTACGACGTTTGTTACGGTATATAAACGAGATGCTTAGAATATCATAAATAGACAGAGTACGAAAACAGAATACACCCAAGATAAGGAACTTATTTGACCATAAGTTGAATATTTTTACGACATCTTAAGAAATGAAAAATATTTTTAAACTAATAATACATGAAATAAAAAGACTGATATGTTCTTGTACACACTTATGACTAATCAAAGAATCGAAAAGAACAGAATTTTGAAGTGCGTAAACCAAATGGTTACACATTTCAAAAGGCAGTGTAAAAATTTGGCAATGTAAAGATGTCTGAGACGGCTTCGGTAGCACCTTGGACAGAACGGTAATAAACCTAGGGCTATTAGGTTTATTAGTACGGAAGACTATTAGGACGGATTATTAAGTACAGAGGACGAGATCTGACCAAACGACTATTAAATCTAATTCAAAAAATAATAGAACAAAACAGAATTCTTTAAGAATGGAGATCAAGCATCCTAAGATCTCTCTTCAAAAAGGGAGACAAATTGGGCCCGGAAAATTAAAGAGGAATTAATTTATTAAACACAACACTAAAATTAACTACCAAAGTCATAACAAATAAACTGAATGAAATTATGACACTAGCAGAAGAACAACAAGGTCTTAGGTCGGGAAGACCATGCACCGACTTTATATTTATAATGAGACAAGTGCAAGAGAAATCATTAGAATAGAAAAAACTGGCTTGTCTATGTTTTGTGGGCCTTAAGAAGGCATTTGACCGTGTAAAATTAAATTATGTTATCCACTTATTGTACGCAAGAGAGGTACCTTTAGGAATAATCAAAACGATCGAAAATATCTACCAGAACAACACAATAAAAGTAAAAGTGGAAGAAGAACTAAACTGACCCTATTGAAGCTGGCAATTCGATAAGACAGAGAGATTCCTTAGTCCTGTATTGTCCAACCTGAGTATGGATGAAATAATTTTCATCAGGTTAACATTTTTGTACGACATTTATAAAGGTAATACAAAAGTAATGCCGTACAAAATATTGATACTAGTAGCAGGAAAATCAAAGATATAATCTTTGATTTTCGGAAAATTTTGACCCCATCTTCGACAATTTCATACAGTACAGCATTCGTAGTATTAATACCTTATATATAAGTAAATGTTTAACCACTTTTTTTAGGCACCCGTTATGCCTTCACCGCAAACAATAACTCCACCACAAGGCGCGCCTTTAAAAAGGCCCCCCGGATCTAGGCCGAGAGGGAGACCACCTCTACAGAAGGCACCAGGCCAACCTCGGTACCAAAGGTCAAAAAGTCCGAGCGCTGCTGCTAATTTGAACAAGACCTACTCCTGGCAAAAATCTCTCATGGATCAGACTTACGCCATTGAATACATAAAACACTATAAAGATGAACTGATTAAGCAGTATAGTAAGAATATGAGTATTCCTCAGCTGACACAGTTAAGTCAAATACTGACACAAGGTAAGATAATAAAATAATATGTTATTTAGTGACTACGTTTTTGTTGCATTAATAAAACAATTATTAAAACATTGTGTAGTCTTAGTACACTTCTAACTGTTAAGACCTAAGCATTTTAGTTAGGATTTTTTTTTTCGTACTGTTCTGTAATCAACTTATAGTTTATCTATTTCCTTACAAAATTACATTTCGAAACTTGACAGATTGCAGATTACTTGTGCTTTAAAACAAAACTAATTTCAGTTGCAAATTCGTGACGTCACAGCAAGCATTAGAAAACTTGCACTATATCCCAAGTGGACTCGTCTAATTGTACAACTCAAGTATTTATTTTCTTGACCTTCGCTTGTTATATTTTAAAATAGTGCCAAGAAGATACTCAATATATATTTTATTTCAAACTTAATCTTGTTTATTTACAATATACAATCAATAAAGTTTAACCATAACTTTGTTATATAGTTCAGCTCAACAGGCCTCAAAGGCCCAAGGCTTCAACGGTTTTCTTCCATTTCTTTCTATCTTGTGCTAAGTTTTTCCAATCTTGTACCCGCAGCGACTTCAGATCTTCTTTTGCCAACTCCAGCCATTTTCTTCGGGGGCGGCCTCTTTTTCTTTTTGTACCAGCCTCCGTGTTTATTAATTCATTGGGAACTGTTCCTTCCTTCATTCTTGCTATATGTCCGAGCCATCTTAATCTTTGAATTTTAGCGAGTCTTGTTATTTCTGGTTGCCCATATATTTGCATTATTTCTTCATTCGTTCTTCTTCGCCAGATGTTCCCCTCTTTTACACCTCCGTATATCCTTCTAAGAAGGAAGATAAAAATAAAAAACCAACAACTCGGATTATGTTGTAAATTTTTATTTTATTTTAAAATTTAGCATTTTTGCGTATATTGTATATCATCATCATGTGCAGCTTTGTCGACCGTTTCCAATTACGGTGCAGCCTCCCTTATTTCAATGTTATTCTATGTTCTTATTACTACGATGTCCTAGTTATTCGTTGTTCTTGTAATTTGCGTCCATATTTTTCTATTTTCTGCTATTCGAGACCACGTTGTTCCTGTTAATTTTCTTATTTCATAATCCCATCTGAGATTCGGGCGCCTCTTTGGTCTCTTAGCGTTCCTGGGATACCACATAGTTGTTCTAGTGGTCCATCTGTTGTCTGTTTGTCGTGCTATATGTCCTTGTCTTATATAGCATATATATATATATATATATATATATTTATATATATATATATATATATATATATATTTAATAAGATTAACGTGAGGTTTTTAAATATGCTCTTAAGGTCTCAAGACAGATCACATTGACACTGAACTTCCACTTACTGTTGTTTAATTTTTGGTTACATGGACTGCTGTACCGGGACAAACTCTAAAAGTATTTGATTTCAATGCACTAAATCCTGGTATTTCAACTGACGCCGCATCAGTATTAGTGCAAAAAGGACCTTATGATTTCTTTAAATTTTTTGTAACAGATAATATTATGGACTTTATTGTAATTGAAACAAACAGAAAGGTTCAACAGATCATTTCAAACATAAATATTTCTCAACATTCAAGATTAAAAAGATGGAAACACCTAACAAAACAAGAATGTGAAATTTTTTTTGGGTATGATTATTTGAATAGGTTTGAACAAAAAACAAAGATAAAAGAGATATCTTGATCCTTGCATAGTATACACAGATAACCAAGTGGAGTTTCAGGGTAAAAGTAACAGGCTACTAGAAAAACCGCAAGCAGTGACCAATTATAATAATTGTAAAGCATTTATTGATATTTCAGATCAGCTGAAATCATATTCTAGTACATTACGAAGAAGTGTTAAATGGTACCGTAAGCTAGCGATTGAGCTTCTCACTGACTCAGCAATGACTAGTGCATTTATTTTGTATAAAGCTATAACTAAAAATAACATACAAATTACTGCCGTCAGAGAAAAGGTAACTCGAAAACTACTTCAAGCAGATATATCTCGAAAACTATTTCAGAATAAATTGGAATCAGCAAGACGAAGGTAAATAGTGTGCTATGAAATTATGAAAAGAAAACGCGGAAGAGAATATGCCATTAAGAAAACTAAGCAGAGTCCGTATAAGTGTGATAATTGTGACTCCTTTTTTGTGTTGAGTGCTTTTTTGTAAAACATAAATTTATGAAGATTGTATTTGTAAAGAACTATATACAGTTAACAACTTAATAATTAATTAATAAATTAATTAATAATTAGATCATATTTCAAAACAAAATAAATAAGTATATTTGAATGTTAATTATTTTCACACTGAGATTATAAAATTAAAATTTTAGGAAAAAAACATTTATTATTTCTTGTTCTCAAGAGGCGCTTTCATTATTGACAATATCGAAACATTTTATTATTAAAAAAGGGGTTTTCATATTTATTTTAATTACAATTTGTGACGTTTCTGGTTTGTTTATTTTTATGGCTGTCAGTCTGTCGAATTTTTTGCTGTTTATTTGTCGAATTTTTGCATTTTACTTTTATCGAAAATAAGTAATTTTCTGTGAATCTTTTCCCTTTTAGTTTTTTGGTTGCTTTCTTTAATGTTATACCACTGACAAGTTTTTAAAAGTTTGAATTTTACCAAGAATTTTATAATTTTTCTTTTAAGGTCTTCACAGCTTTCAAGCCAATTAGTAGTTAATAAAACATGCTTTAATACGCTATACTTTAAAATTACTCGTGAAACTTTTCTACCAATATTGTAGTAATAGTAACAAACAAATCTGATGGTCTCTAAAGAAACTTTATTTCTTCGTTTGCGCCATAATTTTCGCTATAACTTGTCACACTTGTCACAGGTAATACACCTATAGGGTAAGTTCGCCCTGACACTATTCCTACCTCCTCGCAAGTCAGGGACAGACTGAGAAAATAAACGATACGGTTTTCGAGTAACGCCATCTAGTTGTTGATACGTCTTTCGGTTACCACGAGGTGAGCTATCTAGTGGGTGGTTTATAATCAATGGTGGCGTTTAATGTGTTAAACAACTAATTTAATATTAGTAATATTACAGTTTAACGTCTAAATTTAACCCCTAGATTAGTTATAATTAAAATAATGTCATTGAATACCTTGTCTCCACTGATTTGCTTGTAAATTTGGATTCAGGTTATACCTACCCCCGTGTTTAAAATTGGACTTGTGCCATTAGTTGCTTTTTATTGTTTAGGTATGGTATGAAAACGACCTCTATTAGAAATATATCATATAATTGTGCGTTCAAGAAATTTGAAATTATTTAATTATACAAGAACAATAAATTTAGATTTATTTACTGTTTTGATACCCTTATTTCTTTTATGTTGGTATACCCTTATAAAATTCATCTCTTGCGAAGAAAATCGAATGGTTGTAGTATTTTCTTTATTGAAACTATAAATACAATAATTTTTAAATCAAAATGTTATGAATTTATTTTATTTCAACTTAAAAAACAAGCCTTATTAGCACATTATGTGTATCTTAAAATGCTCCAGTATACGCGTTCTGATATCTCCTAAAATATGTGATTGGTTTTTATTCGTAACTCGGTTAGCTTTTAAGGTATGAAGTACTTAAAAAACCATTTTCTAGGTTTTTTTAAGAGCAATAAGATCATTTAAATTATTTTTAAAAGGGTTGTAGTTGAAAGGTAAGCCCTTTTGATGTAAGACGAATCACTAATTAGGAGCAACTTTGAACAGCAATACCTTAACCAATTCTTGTCTTACAGAGAAACAAACCAAAATGTTCAGAAATGAACAACCTAAATCTTTTTACTCATGAAGATTTTCCAATTACTAATACTTTTTTAACTTAAGTAAAAAAAGGCAAAGGATAAAAAAATTAAGAAGAAAAGGTAAGAAAATTTCAAAAAAATTGTTTTTTACTTTAAAACCAATTTTTTCAAAAATAAGCATTTTGAACCTGTCAGACTTACAGATCATATAAACAATACATAAATAAAGTAAATTGTGTAGCTGTAATGCTAACAACCCTGAGCTCGTGTCCAAAAGTGAAGTAAAGGGTGAGAGAAACCTAAATCCAAATTTTCAAACAGATCCATCGTGGCAATGAAAATTACACTCCAAAACCGTTATTTACTGGAGTAAAATACCATATGAAGATCGGCCATATTACATAAGCACTATAAAACAAATTTAACAATTATCCTATTAGTATTTCCTGAAATAATTCCTTTGTCCATACATTTGCCTCACACCAGATGTAGTTGTTAGCTGAGTCATTTAATATTTTTACAATTAATAAAATATTGCTTGTTCTAAAACTCTGGCACAAAATGAAACTGTGTACAAGTAGAATTATTTTGATGTAGAATACCTAATCGTTGTGTCATTATTGTGTAGGTCAGATCAATAATCCACTGACGGCAACTGCCATAACAAGTCAAATGTTGGCACAGACGGGATTACTAAATTCCACTTTACTGAAACAGATGAATGCTATGGGAAATGTCGGCTCTCCAAACATGTCGGCTCAATTATTAGACAGCTTGAACCAACTAAACCCGACTATGAAAAAGCAGTTGGGCATCGAACATGCTCTATCCAGTTTAACACCAGGTTAATATCTTGTGCCAATTTATTGAATAGTTATTTTTATGATTTTTTATTTTGTGTCTAGTTTTCTTGGAGACTGATGCCAATTAATATAACAAAATAGGTGTCGGCTGTACCAGAAGTATTTCTTTGCAAAATATTCGTAAGATATTCTTAATATAAAAGACATATCGTTTTGATGTCATTCAGTGTCAATTTGAATAAAAATGGGTACAACTTATACCTCCGTAAATTCGTAGGAACCTAATCAAATCTCATAATAAATCAGTCGTCTTAAAGTCACAATTTCACTGGTTTGCTGGATTTTTCTTTTCATGGTATAATTGACTGATAGGTTTGAACTATCAAAATATGAATTTGAATAATTAAAGATGAATATGAATTTCATATTTATCTTTGGTTTTCAAATGTTTGCGGAAAGTAGGTGTGAGTTTTTTCTGAAGTGTTTTTAAATCCATGTCTTTGGTCCATACACTACTATAATAGTTTTATTAAGGCTACTCTCTTTATCATTGATTTGTATTAGTAATATAATCTCTGACCATGCTCTCCAGAACTATATCTGTTTTTCTAGTCTATTATGTCTTATACAACGTACACCTGCAGCTGCTCTGTTGTCTTCTGCTAGTAGGAAGGTATGATTGTTTCCATTTTTACTACTCCTTGTCCTTTTTTTGTCTCTGATATTGCTAGTATATTTAATTCTGCTGCGCCAAACTCCTCTAATAGTTCTATTTCTTTACTATTTATGCTCTTTATCTTCCACGCTCTGATTTTTCAAATGATATACTCATTTTTTTCTTGCTTGATGTGTCTTTGTGTTTTAGTCTTTTCATTATTTGATTTAATTTATTCGTGACCGTTGTCATAGCCATGGTTTTCAAAGTTTTGACTTTGTCATATTCCTTGTTTTTTGCCACAAATTGTCTCCGGTTTTTCGACTTCTCTTCCTTCTCCGCTACTCCCCATTTTTTTTGTGTCCCAATATTTTAAAAAATACTTTTTAAAACCTACTTTACCGTTTTCCCTGAGTTCTTTACATTTTAAGTTGTATTTTCTCATTTCTCTTTCTTTGGTTTTTAGATTATCATTTATGAATACTTTTTCTTCCTTTAACCTTTTCAGCTGACTATTTTTTCTATAATTATATTTTTTACACTTGTTCTCTTACCTATAGCAACCAAGTTTCCTGCCCCAGTTTTATTGCCCTTTCTACATTTACTTTCTCGTTTATGTTTATTCTTATACAATTTGTCAAATCTGTTTTTATTTTCACTTTATCTGAATCAATCTTTAATCCACTTACTACAATATTGTTTCTTTTCAATTCTTTTTCGAGCCTTTCCAATCTATTTTTAGCCTCATTTAGAGGTTGCTTTGTATTTCTAATGCCTCTTTCATTTTCAGCTCTGACTTTTTTAATTCTATTACCTCTTCTTTATATTCTATATTTTATTTTCTCATTTCTCTTAGCTCTTTGTTCATTTCTCTTGCTAAGGGTGTATCAACTACATCATCACTCTAATTTTCTTGTTTTCTCGTTCTACTAGTCGAGGATCTTATTGTTTTCTTACTCTTCATAAAAAGGGACATAGAATCCCTTTCTTCCCTTTTCCATAATCTGACGTCTTCCATTCGCCAACTGTTTCCATCTTTTATAAGCAACAGGACTGCGGAAGGAGTTATTTCCACCTCAACGGTTCAGAGAAATTACTCCTAATAATTCTGCCTTTTCAATAATTTCAATATATGCGTTTAAATTAATTATTCGTTAAATTTATTTATTTTTAAAATCTATTCTAGTTTATGCGACTTTCTGTAGACATAGGCAATGTTGCAATCAGGTTTGACGTACTTTCGGTGAGTTGTAAGACAATGTTAGCTTCGATTTTGTGTACTAACCACTTTTCTGTTAACCACTTATCATATATATCACTTCTTCTTTCTTAAAACAATGCAAGGTTGCCAAAAGGTTGTAGTTTTAATGTACATTAAACCACTATTACAAAGAATGCGCTAAATTCCTGGAGTGAACAAAGGATCTCTTGGATCTCTGATCGATTGTACACTTTCTTGTATTTTCTTCGTTAGTCACAGCACTTTTTCTTCTCAAGAAGACTCCACTTATGAAGGTTGGCTATAACCATTACAGATTCGTCTCTGTTTTTTGCTTTTCTTAAAAGCGTCTGTGTATTTAATTCGGTCCAGTCGCGAATGTTTTTCAGACAGGATATTTGTCTTCTACAGGACCCCTTTCTCCTTCGAGTTTACACTTCATAATCAGCTGCAACAACTCGTATTTCTCATTTCTAAGTATGTGTTCCAAATATTCTGTTTTTTTCTTTTTAAAGGTGTCAAAAGCAGGATGAAAAAAAATTGGTGTCTCTTCCCTTCTAAAAAGCCACATCTGATAAGCTTCCAGCTATCTCATTAAGTCAACATTAACAAACCAAGCTTCGGTACTATAAAGAAGAATAGAGTGGAACATTTTACAGAAAGACTTTTTATGACTCCTCTCTTTTGTTTAGGGTGGCAATTCGAGTTTAAATTATTTTACTTAAATTGTACATATGCAGTTTGATGTTGGACCTACAGTTTTCTTTCTGATGTTCTAATATCTCTCATATGGCATCAGACATATTTTGTAGTCTCTTCTCTAAATAACAGTTTCCACAGTGTTAATTTTATCCGCCCTGACCATTTTATTTCTTCCTATCACTTAGCAACTTTTAGTCATTGGAATCTTGGCAGCACTTTATGTGAAGTAAGTTTCAATTACTCAAGTACTCAATTTTGATATTTAATATAAATCTGATCTCTCTAGGCTCATGTGTGCTGATGTGTTCTGAAACCTCTTGACGAGGATTAGTCGCTAATATTTTACCTTAGCGTTGACTGGTACAGCCATATTTTTTATTAATAATATATTTTTATTAATATTTATGTGCTTTTGACGTTTAATATTCTTTTCTCCCTGTTTATTTATCTCCAATCTGACTTTGGCATAAGCCTAAGATGATAAGGTTATCTACAATATTTTATGATGTATATAAATAATAAATAAAGAACTTTTAGTATCTCAGAAAAGGAGTTAAATAAATCCGAAGGCACAGATAACTTCACAAATTTTTACTTATAAATTTCTCGTGCAGGATTACTGGTGTAATTTTTTTTTGAGGGAGCTGTAGTTGTCGTGTCAAAAATTTGACTTTCCATATAACTATCTAAAACATCGCATTATGTTAATGTTTTTATATAAACTCGACATTTTAGTTTTATATGTGTAAATCAAATACTGCAATATTTTTAGCAGTAAATTAAAACTTATATTTTTTTGTGTTTCAGACCAGTTAAAGTTGCTCACAACTTTAATTCCCAAACAGCCAACTTCCAGTGTCCCGAGTACATCATCTAGTTTACATACCATGACATCAACATCAGGTATCGTGAGTACTGGCAAGCAAACTAAGCTACATTCTTCTGGTTCTTCAAGACAACACATACCGAGTACATCAATGCCGAGTACATCAATGCCAAGTATATCAATGCCGAGTACATCAAAGTCGAGTATAGGCGATACCTCTAAACATAAACAAAGTGCTAGTACTACATCGTCTAAAAATATAACCATGAGTCACACTGTCACACAGATGTTTAAGGTACGTGTATTTACATTTTATTGATTTTATAAAGGTATTTGAGTAAGTCCCAAAGGGAAAAATATATAAATAATAAAGAAATGATAAAAATAGCTTCAGTCGAAAAAGGCAATCGGATGTATCCCAATCGAAGAAGTTGTGGCAGAAGGGCTTAAGTCCGTAATTATTCATAAAATATGTGATCAAAATAGTAAAGCAATGATTTTTACAAGGAAAAAATCTTTTAGGATATAGAAACATGATAAGAGTATCTAGATATGTCAGAAAGAGCATCCGCAGATGACACCAGGGAAGAAAATGAGAAGCAAGGCTAGAAAAACTTGAACACATAAAGCAAAAATAAAAGTTATGTTAGTAGACAATGAGCAAGAATAGGTTTTGCTCTAAAATTTAAGAGGAAGTATAGGATAAGTAAGAAAATATTAATACTTATTCGTAGATATAGAAGAGAATGGGAAACAGAAAATAAAAATCAACACATGAATGAAATAAATAAACAAAATAAATGATTTCAGACCAATATATAAATCTGTTTGATTCTTTTGATTGTGTATAATATCGGCACTTAGGAATGAAAAACAAAGAAACATTGAAGCTATTGAAATAAAGTATCCTAGAAGGATCAGAGAAGTCACCGAAAGCGATAAATTAAGAAACAAATAGTATCAAAAATAAAGGAAAGGTTGCGAAATGAATCAACATCAAAAATAAATTCTAAACATAATTCTAATTCAACCGCTTGAGTCTACTACTCAGTATAATTTTTCAGTCAAAATATTTTCATTTTTTTGTTCTGAATTGATTGTAAACTATGATTATTTGTGTGACTTAGTTCATCTTTAATTTCACCTTCTTTATATTGCAGTTTAGGATTCCTAGTGGTATTGTAGATTTGAAAGGGATAGTTTAACATCGAAGAATTTTCCATACTAGAACTGCGGTATTTTGTGTATACACTATATCTATATTTTAGTCGAAAAGATCTAGACTTATAAGAAAGGTTATTATCCCTTTCGAAATATGTTTATTAAATCAGTTTATAAAAAGACCTGATCCAGGTACTTATGACGTCGGCGAACTACAGTTGTAGACAAGATCGGCCGTTTCCTCTTTATTTTTTACAAAATCAGTATATCGATCTGTTTACTTTTTCAATTTTACGGAGATGATATCGGAGTCATCAGTGTCCAGTGGAAACGTATATACCAACTGTTATAGGAAGTATATGGTGGTATTAATATTTTTGTTTTCATTGCCTTACTATTTTCTCAGTAGGCTGTCTTAAGTACCTTTTAGTACCAACCTCTTTTTTAGCAAGAATGTATCAGTAGTTTATGTTACCAACAATTCGTTTATTCATCTAATACATCTACAGTTTACCCTTAACAGTAGATGTATTATTGAAATAAAAGTTTATTTCTAACATCAGTCAATAGCTTCCAGTAAGCTTGGATTTGCAGTTCATCTAATTCGCCATCGAAAAGAAGTCTCTTGACTTATCGCTGCTTCATATAGAGGTCGCTACTAGTATACTCAGGTATGTTATGTTACTACAATGGCTAAATAGTTGACAGCATTTCATTTCAGTTCAAGCTACAACAAATGGTCCTGATTAGAGCTGAATAACTCGAAACACAGTGTAATATTGGTGGTGTTTATATATCATAATAATATGTCGTTATATAGTTTATATATTTTTTTATTTATAGGAACCCGCAGTTAATAAATCTCAATCTCCGGAAGAAAAAGCAGCTAAGGACTTAATGAAAGACCGACCGAATATATCAATTACTCCTGTAGCTGTATCGGCGCTGCCTCCACCTCCAAGTATATCTCCAAGCTTTATGAGACCAACTTCAACAAGCCCTTCAAGTAATACTTATTATGATTTTCTTGAATTAAATTTAATATGAATATTAATTGTGATATTGGTTGACGAATCAAAACTCCACCGTAGTGTTGCTAATGTTACAATGTTTCCTCCATATTCCGTCCTGTTTTGTGAATATATTTTTAATATTTTATTAAATCAATTACAGTAGTTTTGAATAAGATCATTTTAGTGGAAACACTAATTTGAAGTTTGTGTATGGAAAACGAATAAATTTGTAAGTAAAAGTAAAAAACTATTTTGCAATGTTGGTCGTAGATTTCATTTTGTCATTATTTACAGAAAGCAAAAGTTAACTGAAAACTACTCTTTAAGTGTCTCTATAAACTATCACTGGCCAATAAGTAGATATGGATGGATTTCTTATTATTATGGAAAAATTGTGATGTTAGTTATACAACAGGTCATTATTTAAAACAAGTAGAAATATCTACCTTATTTGGATTTAAAGTTATTATTGATCTAATATATGAAATTTTATATTTGTTTATGATATATTTACAGACACAACAAGACACACACACATTTTTGTTTGTATTACTCCCATTTTTACATGTTAACGATCACTTATTGGGTGATGTATTTATTTTAAGGAACTAACTTATAAGAAATGGACGAGTTTAAAAATGATATAGAGGGCACCATGGTTTGTTCACCTCGATCGCGTTTTATAAGTTGAATTTCTAATTAAAATATTCGAGCTTGGTTTTAAGTTTCGGAATAAGGTTTAGATTGATCCAAAAGAATAACGTTTAGAAGATTATATACAGGGTCCGGCAGATAAACGGCCAATTAGAAATATCTCGAGAACTAAAGGTAACTGAATGAAGAAGGGGTGTTTAAGAGTGAACTTTTCAATGAAAATATTTTCATCTATTTACTACTTTCGATTATACCGGAAGTTGCATATAACTTCGTTTTTTTAATAGTACACTATGTATTTTTTTAATTTTAGAAATATTCACGTTATTCTGAACATTTTTTAAATATTTCCGATACCTATTGTGAACCGTTTTTGAGTTATAATTTTTTTTATATGAAAATAACATATTTCTACCATGTATATAGAGTTCAATATCCTCTAATGTAATTTGAATAACAGTTTAAATTCCTTAGGAACTTATTAAACACAAGCACTTTTAGGGTTTATAGTTTAAATTTGGTATGAAACGGGTATCCTAAATTTTCGCCTAATTCCTTTTTTTCAAATGAAACATCCTGTATGCGATTCATTATTATAGTGATCTGTAATAGTAGTCACTATACTTCTACCTCTTGCAGTTCCCAAATAAATTAACTTTTTACATTTTTGTCACAAACAATTTAATATAAGGTTGAATGTTCGAATAATTAAACTTTGATGGTATACAAGGCAACTATCGAACACAGTAATTAATTAAATCTTACCCAAGTACTTTCGATCAATAGATCATCTTCAGGGGCATTTCGTCAGTTGTGGCCTATCCGACATGAGCATAATGTCATACATGTAAATTTGGACATAACAATACAATACACAAAGACAAACAAACACTTTAAAATTTTTAAAAAGGAGAAGCTACATGTTATATAGAAGCCTGAGACAGAATTTTCTCGTGATTCTCGAGACAGAATTTTCTGTCTCCGGCTTCTATATAACATGTAGCTTCTCCTTTTTAAAAATTTTAAAGTGTTTGTTTGTCTTTGTGTATTGTATTGTTATGTCCAAATTTACATGTATGACATTCTGCTCATGTCGGATAGGCCACAACTGACGAAATGCCCCTGAAGATGATCTATTAATCGAAAGTATTTGGGCAAGATTTAATTAATTACTGTGTTCGATAGTTGCCTTGTATACCATCAAAGTTTAAACAAAAAATTTATTTATCAAGTAGCCTATGGAATATTCTGACAAATGTCAGTTATTATTAATGTTTAATAGTAACTTTGTTGTATGCCGTTGGGTGACAATTATTCTAATAATAATTTGGCTATTTTTCTTGACACAATAATAATGACTCATTTAGGATATGCAAATGAGGATTTTTTAAATTTAATTATAATAAATCATGAATGTGTTGCTTGTGTGAGTCCATATCAAATAGGTAAAGAAATAATAATAAGACTTACTCACAATCAATTTAATTTAACAATCTGACGATCGGTTTCGCTTTCTACAATTTGCAAAGCATCTTCAGGTCTAGATACAAAGTTAAACTAATGCTGCAATAAAATAAACCCAATTAGGGTGGTGTCTAATAAAGATAAAATAAATAAATAAGTTAGTTCATACAAATTACAAATTATAGTAATTATGCCAATATTACATGTCTGTGGTTTTCAAAATGAATAAATTTGAATATATAAAAGGTATTAACAGACAAGGTAAGACCCACAATTGGTATAAAGTAGTAATAATATATTGTAATAAATTAATAAATGAGCAGATAAATAAAACAAAACAAACATTACTTACATGCCGGTACTCTATTAATTGATGGATGGTAGGTCATGGTTGCAAAAATCATGTATTGTTGATTGGAGAACTTTAACTTTTGTCTAAACAACTGCAATAGCACATTAAAGTTCTCCAATCAACAATACATGATTTTTGCAACCATGACCTACCATCCATCAATTAATAGAGTACCGGCATGTAAGTAATGTTTGTTTTGTTTTATTTATCTGCTCATTTATTAATTTATTACAACATAATATTACTACTTTATACCAATTGTGGGTCTTACCTTGTCTGTTAATACCTTTTATATATTCAAATTTATTCATTTTGAAAACCACAGACATGTAATATTGGCATAATTACTATAATTTGTAATTTGTATGAACTAACTTATTTATTTATTTTATCTTTATTAGACACCACCCTAATTGGGTTTATTTTATTGCAGCATTAGTTTAACTTTGTATCTAGACCTGAAGATGCTTTGCAAATTGTAGAAAGCGAAACCGGTCGTCAGATTGTTAAATTAAATTGATTGTGAGTAAGTCTTATTATTATTTCTTTACCTATTTAATTATAATAATTTATTTAATTTAATTTAATAATGTACGGTAAGTGTAACAGAATAGTATCCACAACTTGCCATATTTTTGCTGAGAGATATCCTGAAAAGCCTCGACCAAATTATAGAACTGTAAAACGCATGTTGAACAACTGTTACCAGTATGATCATTTTATAAGTAAAAGGAACAATCCCAAAACCCACCTCGATAATGAAGACTTACAAAGAGATATCCTTGGATATTTTGCAGCTAATACAAATTCATATTTCCGGGAATGTGAGCAATTGTTACATGTATCGATTAGAATAATTCACAGAATTTAAAAAAACCTAAAATACCCTAGCTCAACATTTACATCCTGCAGATTATGTAAGACGTTTAGAATTTTGTGAATGGGTTTTAACGAAATGCCAAGAAGATCAAGATTTTACAAAAAAAAAATATTTTGTGTGATGAATAGAAGTTTATAAAAAAGTATATGTTTAACCGCCATAACAGTCACTTCTGGATTGATGAAAATCCTCAGCTCACGTGGGGTAATAAATTTTAAGCGTCCTTGTGTTTAATGTTTTTTTGTGGTGTGAAAAATAATAAGATATTCCTCTCATGAATTATGACGAAAATTTGAACAGAGAGCGTTACTGCATGAGTTACTGAAGTATTTTACGGCAAGTAATTGTACCAGCACTTTTTACATAATAGTGATGCTAGCGAGGCTTGGTTTCAGCAAGATGAAGCACCGGCTCACAATATTCGAGGAGTCGGTACATTGCATGATGAAATAGTTAGCAATAGATGGATAGCTAATAAAGGCCCGTTTCTCTGACCACCAAGATCCCCTCAGTTGTCAGCGTTAGATTGCTATATTTGGGGATATGTTAAAAATAAGGTGTTCTCTGAACCGGTCACTATATTAAGTCACTATTATGATAAATAAAGTCCTTCAAGTTTTCAACGATTTAGATGGAGAATCAATATCAAGACATACTAATGAAAATCTGAGTAAAAAAGTTCATAAATGTTCGGAAGTAAATCATTCAAGATTTTGAACATTTATTACATTAATAAGCTAGTGCCTATTCTCTTTGATAGCATCTTTTTAATTGTTCGATGTTGAACTTAAAATATGAAAGTTGTAATAGTCTATAAAAAAATAATTTTTTTTTTTTGACAAAAGTGTATAAAATTAGATTTATTTGAAAACTGCAAGAGATAGGTATGGGAAATATTATACAGATTGATAGAGAGAAACGTATTCTTTTAAAATAATGAATCACATATAGGGTGTCCCATTGAAAAAAAGGAATTAAGCGAAAATTTAGAATGCCGGTTTTATACCAATTTTGACAGCACCCTGTATAATGAAAAAGGCAACTTTATACAGTAAACGATAAAGCTGTATGTGTTTATTAAGTTTCTAAGGAATTTAATTTTCTATTCAAATTACGTTAAAGGATATTGAACTTTATATACCTGATAGAAAAGTGTAATTTTCCTATAAAACCATTATACTCAAAAACAGTTCACAATAGGTATAGGGAAGTATTAACAAAAAATGATTAGAATAATGTGAATATTTCTAAAATTAAAAAATATACAGGGTGTCCATTAACAAAAACGAAGTTAGAAGTAGAAAGTAGATGAAAATATTTTCATTATGAACAGTTCTCCATTTAAAAAACAAATGGACAACGTCATGGTGATGCCATCATAGAAGCAGTTATCCAAAATAAAGGCAAAACTAAATTAAAAAATCCTCACAAATAGGCTCTGGCCAGATCTACAATAACCATGAATTAAAAAAGTCGACCTGTCTCACTGTTTACTAAGAGCAGTTTATAGAGTTTAGTCCTTATTGCACTAGTAAGTTAAGGGTCTTTTTTATATTAGCGTTAAAAAATATAATATGCCGCTTTAATTTGCCAAATATTTCTTTCGGTTTAACTGCGGTCAATTGCTGTGTTGTCTAAAAGAA